AGCATATACATATATACACATACATATACATACATATACATATATACACATATATACCCACATATACATACATACATGTATAAGCAGTATCAGAGAATGGACCCTAGCGGCTAATTTGTAAAATGGTACTATAAAAATACATAATGCCTCCAAAGTCATACCATGCAATTCCCTGCAATGTAGCAGCGTATACGTTTTTTAAACAAATCAATAGAAAGAGAAGTATACTCTCGCGGGATATTATTATAAAGTTTGCTGATATTATACGAAAAAGATCTTTCGAATAAGGTGGTAGAATGAAAAGGCGGTGTCAGTTTAGTTTTGTTGCGGGTATTGCGATTGTGAGCTAAGTAACGGAAATGAATTTTTTCGTGTAAGTAGGAAGGTAGTTTTTGTATAATAATCTTATGGTATTGTACGAGGCTGTGAAGCAGCCTGCGTTGCTTCATGTTCAGCCAGCCAGCATCAGTAAGCTTTGCTGACACTGAATCGAATTTACTCAAACCAAAAATAAGTCTCAGACAAGAATTTTGCACGCGTTGTATTTTATCTGAAGTGAATTTAGTTAGACATTTGTCATAGACGACATCACAGAAGTTAAAATGCGACAAAACAAGAGAATTGCACAGTATGACTTTAGTTTTTTGGTTGATGTAAGATTTTTGACCGTATATCGTCTTTAAATTAGAATACGCCCTTCTGGAGCACTTGTTAACATGTTCCTCAAACCTCAAGTTTTTGTCAAGGTATAAGCCTAAATTACGCGCTATCGAGCTTATTTCTAAAGTATTGTTATCGAGGTTTATTTTCACCTGAGGTTCACAATGGTTTCTCCAATTTTTTGGCCCGAATAACATGACTGTACTTTTAGCCGGATTCAAGTCTAAGCATATATTTCGAGAAGCTTTAGTGAGACGATCAAGGTCTTTATTTATCAGATCAACAGCAGGCAATGTTTGAGCTGGAGGAAATGATAAGTACACTTGTGTATCATCTGCATAAAAATGAGCTTTACAAGAGTGAAGACTGAAGTATAGATTAGAGGTGTAAATAATGAACATTAGCGGACCCAGAATGGAGCCATGAGGAACACCAATGGTCACTTTCAATGGCGCAGAGTACTTATCATTCAGCATTACCTGCTGTTGTCGATCGCTGAAGTAGCTTCGCATTAGAGACTCTGCATCGGCCGAGAATCCGTAAAAGTGGAGCATGGCTAAGAGTAGGTCATGATGTATCCTGTCAAATGCCTTCGTATAATCTAAGAGCACCAAGGCAGTCAGGTTACCTTTGTCAGCACTGCACAATACATCATCCACCACTCCCAGCAAAGCACTTACAGTTGTAAGCTATGAAGCCATTTAAACAAAAATCTATTGACTTTTGGACCATGGGTCATATGAACCTTTTGACTTGTTTTGAACCCCCTATTACCCATTTCAATAATGACTACCATAAGGTTTACACCCTGTATATCTAAGCAATAATAGTTTTGAAAATGAAAGTGCATATTGTCAAAAATGACATGTAACCATTCTTAGCCTACAAAAACTGCTTGAAGGTGATTACCTCCAACTAGTTCATTATACACTCCGAATTATTTCAAACACACCAGATATTTGCTTTTCTATTGTAGTTAGGTATACTAGCTTACAGTACAGCATCTACCCAACTCAATTTGCAAGACAATAGCGTCTAGCCTTAATCTCCATAGGTTGCGTGCTTAATTTGATAACGTAAGACTTGATTGCGTATCTCCATTTTTCGGCCATCACCTCTATCAAAGAACTCAGTGTGTTTACGTGAATAAAAGTTTTAGCTGTAACTATTTTCTTCTTTTAGACAGTTGTCAAATACACCATCCTATACAGACACTCCAGCATATTGAAGCGTATCCTACAAACGACATTCGATAGTTACTGGCCAAATGTTTTTGAGCCCGAGGTAGACAAAACTCTGGAATTGCTTTACAAACAACGAAAGTATACGATTGTCTATCTCATAATGTGTGGGATGTTTTTTAGTTTCGGGTTTCTTCTTTCCCCATTGTTGGATGCTGAAAGGTATTTAAACTTGACACATGCATAAAACTGCAACATTATGTTTGAAAATGTCAGCGATGTATTTAGTTTCAAGACATCTTAGTGATATAAATTCTTTTACACGAGACTAGTTACATACGTAGGACATAGCATTAATTGTGCCCTTAGGCCAAATAATATGTCTAAACGTTCAGCTGTTGTATCGGGGGTTGTAAAGGGTGGAGAAGGGTATATCTCAATTCTTTGATGTATTATACAGGGTGTTTCAGTTTATTGTTGCATAACTTTAGGATTCGATAGAACTTTTAAAATTAATGAATAAAGTCTATATAAACATGGGTCGAAAAATGCGTGGCATCCGAAATACAGGGTGTTTAAATTTACTTTCTAAAATATTTTTTTTAAATATTTCGAACAATATTTGATGTATAACAGTGAAAATTGGCATACAAGTGTTCTTTGGTACGACAAAACGAACCATGGGCATAGTTTTACTGTAGCCACTAGAGGGCGCTTTCTACTGTACCTGTAGTGTATTAAAATGACCGAAAATTTTTTCTTAGCGCAATTTTTTGCTTTTTGAATAAAAAATCTGATTCTTCGCATTTTTCAACATAAAAAAGCTCTCATGTGAGTTTTCGTTATAGTTAGCCGTTTTTGAGATATTTCGATTTTTAGGGTTCGATGCATTTTTAATTATTTATGGGAAAATAATATTTTTTTTTACATTTTCGATTTGGGCATTACAAGTAATTAAGATGATCGCTGAGATTGTATTTTTAAACACAGCAATAATTCCTAACTACAAATGAACACAAAAAAACAGAATATTAATTTGTTTAATTTTCCAATATTATTTTTAACAAATTAAATTAATTATTTACAACTAAAATGCTATTGGATAGTTAGGACAAACATAAAAATCTAAAGTAGTTGCTCGAAATGTAAACCCAATTGTTCAATACACAATTCACATCTACGAATGATCGAACGTGGTATAGCATTATTCAAATAAATCCTTATTTCATCACATGCATTCCCGATTCTGTCTATTAGCATATCTCTTGTGCTTACGGGAGTCTGGTACACTTTTTCTTTTAGAAATCCCCACTCAAAGAAATCTAATGGATTTAGGTCAGGGGATCGTGGAGGCCAGGCGACTGGTCCTCCACGGCCGATCCATCTTTCTGGATAATTTTCGTCCAGCCAGTTTCTAACTATTCTCGAATAATGAGCTGGACAACCATCAAGCTGGAACCAGGCCAATCTTCTTGAATCTAACACAACATCATCCCACATATTTGCATGTCCAGCCTTTAAAAATTCCAAGAAGGTCGCAGCATTTAACCTTGCAGGCAAAAGGTAGGGTCCAAATGGTCGATTACGGTAGATACCAATCCACACGTTCACACTAAATTCATGCTGAAAATTTACTTTCCCGAACTGCATGCGGATTTTCATGCGACCAAATATGTTGATTATGAAAATTTACCACTCCACATCTAGTGAAGCATGACTCATCGGTCCATAAAACGTTACTTAAAAACTCCCTATTATTATCAGTGCTATCAAGAATCCACTGACAAAATGTGATTCTTCGTTCTTCGTCCCCTGGCTGTAGTCCTTGCACAGGTTGCAAATGGTATGGCACCAGAAACTCTCCTAACACTTGTGATCGGATCTCTATCAAACTCACGCAGAATCATACGGGTAAATCTGCGCTGACGAACATTTATGTTTTGATCCCTTTCATTTGGCGATGCACTCTTACAAATACTGAGCGAGTTGGATGTTGGATGAATATCCGCTAACTCTTGATTGGAGAATAAAAATGGCATTTTTATAAAACTTACAAAAAAAACAGGTAAAAGAAACTTAATTTCGTGCATTCACAATTGCAAAAAAACGTTTCAGGTTTCAACAGACAACAAAACTAACTGTCAACTAATTGAAGTTTAACCTTATTCCGCTTTCAATTTCAAAAATATTTGCAGGCACAGCTTACTTCTAAAAATTATCGAGATACTGAGTTTTTAACGTTATTTTATCATACATAATTAAAAATGCATCGAACCTTAAAAATCGAAATATCTCAAAAACGGCTAACTATAACAAAAATTCATGGGAGAGCTTTTTTATGTTGAAAAGTGCGAAGAATCAGTTTTTTTATTCAAAAAGCAAAAAATTGCACTAAGAAAAAAATTTCGGTCATTTTAATACACTACAGGTACAGTAGAGAGCGCCCTCTAGCGGCTACAGTAAAACCCACGGTCCGTTTTGTCGTACCAAAAAACCCTTGAATACCAATTTTCACTGATATACATCAAATATTGTTCGAAATATTTAAAAAAACTATTTTAGAAAATAAATTTAAACACCCTGTATTTCGGAAGCTACGCATTTTTCGACCCATGTTTATATAGACTTTTTGCATTAATTTTAAAAGTTCTACCGAATCTTAAAGTTATGCAACAATAAACTGAAACACCCTATATAATGTATAAGTATGTTGGTTGGTTGGTTTTTGGGTAGTTGGGCTGTCGTAAAATATTTTTACTTGACGTTTCGCCATTACGAGTGCTTGACATCATCAGAAGATGTTCACAGTTTGGAGTCCTCTGAGCTACTTCAGTACTATAGCAACTCACAGGACTTCAAACTGTGTACACCTTCTGAATATGCCAACCACTCGTGTTAGCGGAGCGTCAAGTGAAAATAATATAAATAGCTTTGGAGTACCAAAAAGAAGTCGAGCTTTTTTTTGAAAACGTTCTATGAGATCAAGGCATCAAAGATTTTAGTAACTGTTTATGTGGGCATTAATTTTTTACCACTCGCTTCATTTTCTCCTTAAGCATCTTCACTCATGGCGCTTTTTTGACTTCATTCTAACACTTATCTATATTGCTTACTGGCTAACAGTATTATTACTTCGTCATCATTTTTAGGCAAATTCCATACAAATCTATCTACCCCTATGACTGGAAACGAACTCCAATGTACCAAATTACCTACTTATTCCACGCCATTGTCAATCTATATGTAGTTACCTTAACCGTCATTGGATTCGATACACTCTTCATGGGAATCTGCTTCGGTCTGACATGCCAGTACATCCTGCTGGGAAGAATGTTCTTGGAGCTAGGAAACCAACAGGCTCCGCTATTGAAACAGCAGCATGTACCTCAATGTTGTTATTATCGAAGCACTTTGATCATGTGTATCAAGCACATGCAGCTACTTTCGAGGTCAGTATCCGTCAGTTAATTCGGACTAGGTAGAACAAGAAATAGTCAGTAGTTAGGATGCTAGTTCATATAACAAGTTATTCTTATTACTAATTATTAAATAGCAAATTTAAGTTTAGTACAAGTACCAAATACATGATATTTGATAGTGTACAGACAAATGCAATCCACATGCGGAGAATGGTATCATTTGCTAATATGCTACGCGTTGCGGTGTCTATCGTAATTGAAGGGTGCCGGGAAAAACGACATTAGTCCATTATTTGGCTAAATTGAGCCTTCAGTTTATTTTGGTGGCATTTTCCTTATGCTGTCTTGTAATCAGCTTCTAAAACTGTAAAAAGGGCTTAGGTTCACAAAACAACAGCTATGAGATTCCCTGTCTCGGAGAAGAATGGCATGAGTCCCTGCGCGTGTATGGAAAAACGGCATCAGTCCATATGGAAAGGCGGCGTTGCATCGGCCGTACCGCTTAGGCGCTTCGTTATTGCATCAGCCATTAGTTTACTTGTTCCTGAACCTGAATGCTGTAGCCTTCTTCGTGAATTTCATGACCTAGGAAACACTAATGCGCAAATCGCTTTTCTTAGTGGTCTTATCACTGTTCTTCCTGTCATGCGTAGACGCCCTCGAAAAAATGGAGCAGTGTCAAGGCTTAATAATGCTTCATTTAGTTATCGTGTTCGATTGGTTGAAAATGGAATTATACGTGAAGTTGCAGTTTGTCTTAAGGCTTTTTTGTCTTTACACGGAATTACAGTTCGTCGAGGTCGGTACATAAGAGACTCATTAGTTGCAACTGGGAAATCGCCCATCGACATGCGTGGAAAACACAACACACGACCTTCAGAAAACACGAAACGGAAAGTGACCGAGTTTATTAAGAGCCTCAAATGCCGCAAATCTCATTATCCTTTGGCAGATCCGCAAAAAGTTTACCTACCTGAAAATCTAAATATCGCAAAATTACACAAAATGTATATTCTGTTGGCAATATTGAAAACAAGATTTCCTATGAATCCTTCCGAGAAATCTTTGAAAACAACTTCAATATATCGAATGTGATAGTGCTCTCGTGCACCAAAGAGCATACACTGAGGTACCGGATGACTGGAGAGATGAATTGAAAAATTGCGGGGTGAAACCTACACCATTTGAAGTTATTGATTGAGGCAAAAATTTTGTTTTTCAAGATTGGGGTACGTTTTTATCGCAGTTTTATCCAACGAAGTGCCCCTTTCCAACCCGATCAGTCGGGATACTCAAGTTTTGTAAACAGAATCCTCGCGTAAAAAAAGACGAAAAAGGTCAACAAAAACGAGAAGAGGAAACATTGAGAAAACTTTACCAGCGCCCAGTCTCAATTAAAAGTAAGAAATGGAAGGATCTGCAAGATCTGACCAAATTTCTAGAGAGAGCAGATTCCAGAGCATTTTATCAACAGTTAATATCTCTTGATCATCCAGAAGACAGCAGTGATGAATATGGCGATGACCCGGCAATAGACGCTTAAAGCAGGGGAAAAATGGCACGAGTCCAGAGTTGAACATCATCTTTTGTTTGTTACGTTACAAGTTTTGAGTAAAAGTTCATTTTGTAAAATCTATTTTACCAATAAACACACTGTTTAGCAAAGATATTCTTTACGACTTATTTTTCCATCAATTTGATGAATGAAACAATATTAGAAGGTTATAAATGCCAAAACAGTCCTTATTTTATCATGGTTCCTCAATATCTTTTAACTACATTGCATTTGTATATATAGAAGTATACTAAGTGACATATAAATCCGAACACCCAGTTTAAATGGTTTTATTTTAATAAAAGTTGGTGAATGTATTTATCTTACTGTAAATAACAAGTGAACAAATTTTCAGCCTTATCAGTTGGACATTCCGGTTTTTATACTGCTTTTTTTTAATTCACTAACGCTTTAAAAATGAATATTTCAGGCGCAGTAAAGAATCAACGTTGGCGGATTTTGGTTCTTGACATCCTTTACGATCGGTTACGATGCCTAGAGTACGGAGACCTGTACGATTTCGTCAACTTAGTGAGTTTGAAGGGGGCCGTATAGTGGGACTTCGGGAAGCTGGACTTTCTTTTCGGGCAATTGCAGTTAGAGTGCAAAGAAGACACTGTGGTTAGGTGTTGTCAGGCATGGCTTCGAGAAGGCCGTACGCAAAGAGCAAGGGGCCCTGGACGCCGCCGTAGAACAACAGACCGTGAAGATCGCCGCCTAAGATTATTGGCCTTAAGGGACCGTTTCTCCACTACCAGGTCCATTGCAAATGAATGGTTTGCAGAACACGGAAGACCTATTGGCATGCGAAGTGTTTACCGACGAATGAGAAGTTTTGGCTTGTTTTCATACCGGCCACACTGGGTCCTCCCTTTAACTCTAGAACACCGACGTAATCACCTTGAGTGGTGCAGACAACGGTCACTCTGGGATCAGGAATGGAACAGTATTGTCTTTGGTGACGAGTCTCGATTTTGTTTAGGCATGCACGATGGTCGTGCCAGGGTTAGAAGGCGACGTGGTGAAAGGAGGAATCCACAGGTTTTTGTTGAAAGACATGTTCATCACACTGTTGGAGTTATGGTTTGAGGTGCTATAGCTTATGGTTCCAGGTCACCTATAATCTTCATCAGAGGTAACATGAACGCGCAGCGTTATATCCACGAAGTTCTAGAACCCCATCTTTTACCCTATCTTGACACCCTGGCAGATCCAACTTTCCAACAAGATAATGCCCGACCACATGTTGCAAGAGTCACAATAGACTTCTTTCAACATAATGATGTCACATTGTTACCATGGCCACCAAGATCTCCCGACTTATCCTCAATTGAGCACGTGTGGGATATGATGGGTAGGAGATTGCTCAATTTGCAACGTCCTCCTCAGACTCTAGAAGCACTTCGAGAGGAGTTGGTGGTTGCCTGGCATGAGATACCACAGGAGGACATTGACCACCTGATCAGAAGCATGCCTAGGCGCGTTGGAGAATGCGTAGCACATCAGGGTGCATCCACACATTATTAAAGGTCAAAGGGCTTTAAAGCAGTGCAATCATTTTGAAATTTTTATCATTTACTTATTATGCTTCATTAAGTACTTATACAAAATTTTATTAAAATAAAACCATTTAAACTGGGTGTTCAGATTTATATGTCACTTAGTATATTTTATAGAAAAAATGAACAAAGTATAACCTTATTTGTACATGCAGCTAAAGACCACAGATGAAAATGTTAGTTTTTCTAAAACATAAGATTAAAATTCAATATCACAAAAAGATTACACTTTTATACGTATACATATAGGTAAGTTTTTTTTATTTGGGAGGTAAGTCGAAAGCCTACCTTCTCCTTAAGTTTGTCGTGGTACTTATTGGACACCCTGTCGGTTTTGCTGCTTCTAATCTGTTGGGATTCGTTGGTATCCTTTAGCTCATTAGTATTATACAGATAGATCGATTTTCCAAAAAAATAAAGATTTTGATCACTTCTAGGGCTTGTCTAAGCGAGTTTTCTGACCTTGAAGATAATTCAAATCTTCTTTTTATTTCAATACACGATTACTCTTTAAAAGAGTGCTTGAAAATATTCCTCCCGAAACCTACCAAAAAGTGACGGAAAAAGTAATCAAGAGGGCTCAGGTTTGTGCGGCTTTTAGATTCGGACATTTGTCTGATGCTTGTATTATTTTTCGTATATAATTTCTAAGTCTCAATAAAAGATTAAGATGAAAAAAAGTCCGTATTTTATTTCATTTAAAATGAAAGTGTTGCTAATCTCACAATAAAAACAAAAGTTGAAACCAATAAGTACAAAATTATAATGAGACTTAAACTTCTGTTTTTTACTTTGAAAGCAGTAACACTTTCACCCTTACTAATACAAGTATAAGTAAGTAAGTGCAGATGTTTCTTACTTAATCACGCCGAAAAGGCTGAACTTTTGTACAGAGGTAGATTATTGTTTGAAATAGCCTTTGGTTCCGATAAATAACTTCGAGATATCTATTTCACGGACTACAGCTGGAACTGCTTAATGGAATTTCACACCAGGTACCGCTTGTCCAACCGAATTGATCAAGGGTATCAAATAGTGCATTTGCATTGTGCATTTACAGCATTTTTTTGCATTGTCGTCTTAATTTGCATTTGTTTAGTGTTTAGGGATGTATTTACAATCAATATAATCTTGAATGCTTATCGGTGGGCAAGGTACATTTATCTACTAATGACGTGTCGTTCTGTTATTCTATTTCTCTATACAGGGTGTTCCATAATTATTGCGACAAAATGATAGGGGTTGTAGAGGGCATCAAAATGAACAATTTTGCCTTATAAACCCTTGTTCGGAAATATGCCGTTTGGGCTGCAGCAAAAAAAAAACGTCAGTTTCTTGAAACAGCTTACCTACAGTAATTGCTCAAAGTGTCCTCCACCTTGCTCAATAGACAGCTGTGCACGATTGTTCAATGATCGGCGAACTCTGTGGCATATCCCCGGTATGTCCTGAACATGCGGTAGCGGCCATCACTCTTCCCAGTAGCTCTTGTTGGTTGGGAACAAGAGTTTCGTACACTGAAGCTCTCAGATGGCGCCAGAGAAAATAATCCAGTGGGGTCAGGTCGGGTGACCGCGCAGGCTAAGGCACAAGGCCTATCCACCTATTTGGAAATTTGTCGTCCAAATACTGCCGGACTTGTAAAGAAAAGTAGGCTGGAGCGCCATCGTGTTGAAACCACATGTTGGCTCTTATGTTCAGTGGCACATTCTCTAGTAGTTCCGGTAGCACATGCTGTAAGAATTGACCATAAGCATGCCCATCCAAACGTGGTGGAAGCAAATATGGCCCGATGATATGCTCGTCCACAATACCGCACCAGAAGTTAATTGAAAACTGATGAGGGTTTTCTTCATCCCAAATGTGACTGTTACGGCTATCAAAATAAACGCCCTTTGTCCAAAGTTTGGTTGCCTCAACTTCTGCTGCAGCCACCAACGACAAAAACGTCGACGCGGCAGATAATCTTCTGGACCCATGGCTTGGATTTTTAAAAGGTGGTTTGGGTGTAGTTGCTGGTCATGGAGAACCCGCCAAACAGTAGTTTGAGACGCTGCCATATCATGTGCAATAGCTCGCACGCTTGTACGCGGATTGGCCTCCACATGGTGCATAATCGTTTCCTCAAATTCTGCTGTGCGCTTCGTGAAGGGCCGCCCTGCTCCCGCGAGGTGTCTGATGCTGCCACTGACACAAACACGTCAATGAATCCTTGCAAAAATGGCGTGATGCGGATGAGGACGTTCTGGAAAGCGTTGGGCGTAGATTCGCGAGGTTCGTCTCTCTTAAGGTAAAATTAGCGGTAGTGCTCAAACGGCATATTTACGAACAGGGGTTTATAAGGCAAAATTGCATATTTTTATGCCCTCTACAACCCCTATCATTTTGTCGCAATAATTATGGAACACCCTGTATATAGATGAGATTGTCTGTCTAGTCTGTCAGCAATAGGAGTGAGCCGCAGTACGAAGAGACGTTGAAATTTGTACACATACGAACTGATACCCAAAGAAGGTTATAAGCATAGTTTCATTCGCGAACTCATTATAGATTTTGCAATCAATCAGCTGTCGTGGCAAGTGTATCTAGGTCTGTTTTATCATTTTTTCACGTAGAAAGTGTTGTAACCTTGCGCCCATATAAAAATAGTCAGATGAACACTCAAAAATGAAGGAATACCAAAATTGCGAAGTTTGGACCTTTGAAAGCAGACAGGTCCTAGAACAAAAAAAAATGCTGATGAAGGTTTGAAATTTAATAGATCGATTTGAAATTTGAGTTATTTTTGTGGTCGAAAAACCTACTTGAGAGGCTCTAAGATTTCGGAGTTGGGCAACTGCCGCATCGCATATGTTTCATAAATTGATATTTATTGGGTTGGGTAATCACAAGAACTATAAAAGGCCACTATTGAATACAGATCCAGTATTCTCTCCAAACTTGTTACTTGGCGTTCTGGGATGTTCGCATTTACCGCACATCCCTCATTCTCATTCATTTCTACACAATATCCTCAACTTCGGTTGGGTTTTTTGGTTATAGTGATAGAGGATCAAACTTTCAACAGCCCCTCAGAAAATCATTCTATTTTATGCGCATACATTGTAAGGTCCCTTTTCCTTCTAACGTTCTATTCAACACTTTCAAATTCAAATTTATCGTGTAAAGTCAATTTTGGAGTTTTATTAATACCTGAATGCTTTCCAGGACAACCGGAGATGTGGAGAAAGTATTCAACTTAGCCGCTGTCTTGCAACTGGGGAGTAGTGTGACAGCGATTTGCGTATCTGGATTCATTGCTACCAGGGTAGGTGGTATTTACAGTCAAGTAGACTAACTTAATCTACAGGCTATCATTAAATTTGTATCTGGATTCATTGCTACCAGGGTAGGTGGTATTTACAGTCAAGTAGACTAACTTAATCTACAGGCTATCATTAAATTTGTAGCTGTGAAGGAACAGTTACAAATCACAAAGCAAATATGGAATAGCAGCAAAAATACAAAAAAAAATTTACTAGCTATTTGATGAGAAACCTTCCACACCCTTCCTTCTTACCTTACGCTTGCTACTGAGAAAAGGGTGGCTTATGCCGCGTATCAGTGTGTGCACGTGCATGGAGGGCTAACTACTCGAGTCTCGAACTGAACTATATCTAGTGTTTCTCCGCATTAAACTTCACCGCAAGGCGCCCCGGGGATGCCTCTATCAGACGCAGTTGACCTTCTATATAGTAACCTTACTTATCATATAGCAAGTAGTGTTTTTTCCGCATACCCGAAGACCTTCGACTTCCTTTATACTGAAGCAGCCGCGTAGGCAGACACCTAAATACCGGGCCCGCGATCGCTATGAAGATCTAAGAAACGCCTTGTTAAGTCGATCCTGGTACTGCCCAAGATTAGAGCTAACAAAAACCTTAAAGGTAGTTTTACCCGTAAGTTCTGGATGTATGAAGTAGGACAATATTGGGATAGGGTCTGACAGGTTCAACGTGCAGCGGCATCATGGAGGAGGGCTCCGCGAGTCAAAGCCCATTGATATGGCAGTAGAAGGGAGCCAGGTCGCCATCCACCCACTAGATGTGGAATCTTCCGAAACTTGTCCATTAGAGAGGTGTAATCGATCAGTTGGATGGTTCAGCTGTGACCAACATTAAGTATGCTCAATGTAATTGAGGCAGCAGCACCTCAAACTTATGAGCAGCACTCGACGCCAGGTTAAATCAAAGTCTGGATCTTGTACAAAATGAGGAGTTTATTTGGATAAAAGCGCTTCTTGACAAGATGTATCTATACTAAATCATGTCTTTGGTGATCTGGACTGAACGGCTTGATGGTAAAACTCGGCTATCCATCAAGACCAGAGGAGCCCTAGGGCGCTAGGAGCGCTAGGGCGCTACTTGTCTTGTCCCCAGCTCATCAGCAGAAAACGACTGACCACACTGAGTGCCTGCACGTAGAGTGCTGTCATCGGCAAAGCTGTGTACTGATCGTACTGGAGATAAGGTCGCTGACACATAACAGAGACAATGCCAGGGCCAAAACCACTCCCTGAAGAAATTCCGTGTTGATATTGTGGGAGGAGGAGCAGAAACCGACAATTACGTCGAGTATCCTGCGGCCAGAAAGCAAGCCAGCCACCCATCTGCAAAGCTCCTCCTAGAGAAAAACTAAGTTTTATTCTACTTTGTATCCCCATCGGATCGCATCCCTATACTGGTTGCTTGCTCCCAGAAACCAACCACGAACGAATTCTGTTAGGAGCTGTTACCGCTTGATTCCAAAGACACAGGCTTCGCGACAATGTCAGTTTTCTTTTTAGAAATCAGACAGCGTGGTTGCGAGCTGTCCCAGAGACTAAGCCTAGATCATGCTAATAAGTTGCCAAGAAGCACGAAACAGCTGTCCGCGGTTGGCTGTCTTTGGTCGGACGGACGAAGGCAGCACGTTTATTTTTAATATTTTGTTACAGGATGGCGTTGATACTGCTCAAATTGTTACAATGTCATCTTACCTCATTGGTCACTTGGTGCAGTTGTTCATTTACTGTATGGTAGGCAACGAGCTACATTTTCAGGTAGGAAATTGGTGAAAGGTACCTTAGATCATTAGATTTAGAAGTAACTCTTTAAAGTTTTCTATTACGGACTACACTTCAGTCCATTAAACATTACAAGAGGTTTACATTGCACTTATCACTAAGATGACATGACGGAGTCTAACCGGCTATTGAACAACAAAATGTGGCCCCGTGAGGCCTATTTATACAGTCTGACTAAGTATTACAGGAAACGAAGTCACTGGCTAAGCAACAGATTAGCGAGAAGTTGTTATCGGATGATGATGTAGCGTCTACTTCTACTACAACACTTATGTTAACTGCGTGGTTCCTATAGCATATAACAACTCCCCCTATTACAAAGATGACAAAAAGTTGAAAAATACAAGATAATGTAAAAACGTAAAAGTATAACACTGTAAACATTGTGGCTGCGGCTCGCTGTGTCCCTTGTTGTTTTCTTTCTTCTCGTTACTTCCTAGTTTTCTTACTTCTCAATTTCTTTCGTCTTGAAAGTTTCTCGCTTCTTAGTTTCTTTATTCTTCAAAGTTTCTTACTTCTTAAAGGCTCGTTGGTCCTTATCAGCTTAAAGGATAGGCGTCCACCGCATTAGTGATCGTTCGCGTGGTCTAATGCGTTGAATCTGTCCCACTTCTGACAGCAGTTTCTTAAATCATTAGATTTACGAATAACTTTTTAAACTTTTCTATTGAGGACTTCAGTCCATTTAAAATTACAGGAGGTTTACATTGAACCTATTACTAAAATGACATGACGGAATCTAACCGAGTATTGAACAGCAGGATATGACCGTGAGGCCTATTTATACAATCGTATTACAGGAAACAGCAAAGACACTGGCTAAGCAACAGATTAGCGAGAAGTTGTTATCGGATGATGCAGCGTCTACTACAACACTGTATATTAACTGCGTGGTTCATGTAGCATATAACAACTCCCCCCTATTACTAAAATGACAAAAAATTGAAAAATTCAAAATGTAAACATGTAAAAATAGTTAGATTAAAATGTACGTTACTAAGGGTACATCCTGAGGCAGTCGTGTTCTCCAGCAGGCTAGCGGATCTCTTGGGATGTTTTCAGTAGGTTGTCTGCAACTGGGTGGCTGCGGCTCGCTGTGTCCCTTGTTGTATTCTTTATTCTCGTTACTTCGTAGTTATCTTACTTCTCAATTTCTTTCGCCTTGAAAGTTTCTTACTTCCTAGTTTCTTTCTTCTTGAAAGTTTCTTACTTCTTAAAGGCTCGTTGGTCCTTTCCAGCTTAAAGGATAGGGATCCACCCGATAAGTGAGCGTTCGCGTGTTCTAATGCGTTGAAGCTATCCCACTTCTGACACCAGTCTCTTAAATCATTAGATTTAGAAATAACTTTTTAATTTTTTTTATTAAGGACTGCACTGGCTAAGCAAAAGATTAGCGAGAAGTTGCTATCGGATGCTGATGCAGCGTCTAGTGCAACATTGTACGTATATTAATGCGTGGTTCACATAGCATATAATACGTATATATAACCTAGGACGTAGACTTAATCTGAAAACTATTATTAGCGTATTTGTTACCAGAAGTTGTTGTTTTTCGGTAAAAATCAACATCTGACAAATTTTCAGCTGCACTCATTTAAGTTTGGAATCTCAACAGTTTTAGTACCATAAACTCGTATTGGATTCATCTGAAAGAATAAGTCATATACGAGGATAGTCAGACTTTTTTTTACTCTAAGTTCCGATTATGGCACCAGAAAACAAATGACGATAAATTGACTGGTGTATGAGTTGAAGGACATAATTTTACAAAGTCACCATTAGAAATACTTACCAGAACGTAGATAATTTTAGTTGCACCAAAAATTTGATTTTTGGATGTTTTATGGCTACCACAACTTTATAAACAAACGTAGTAACACGTCCATACGTGCCGCTAAACTAAATCTCACGCAGAGGGCGACAATGTTTCTTGGAGATAGAGAAGCGAGCGTGCCAGATCTAGGACAATTTAAGTCAAGGTCTTAAGCTATTGGGGGGCGTAGAAAATAAAATAGATTTCAAGTGTACCTTTGGGGCAGTATGCGTTAAAGGGTGGAAAATAACAGACATTGCTTGCGTCTATCACCAAGAAAGCGCAATGAGCGGCTGTCCATGATCTAACATTACAGGCGTTATACGAGACCGCGGTTTCAGCTGATTTTGGAAGTAGGGTACATGAACATGCCTGTATTGAGTTGTCAAGTTTGAAAGTTGTGCACATAGATTAGGTTAAGATATTTTTGTTGTCTTTCGTATTAGTGAAAAATTGTTTTAATTCAAAGATATCATGACAAACCAGAATATACCCAGTATTTAGGATGTAGTATAAAAAAATGGTTAATAGCACGAATCAGGTGAGCTTGATGTTTCGATGTCATATAAGAAAACAGTATCAGACGCTACCGGTGACACTTTACCGCTTTCGCTCAAACAGTTCTTGCAGCAGATTTTTCTGGGATACAAGCATTCAGTCGATTTGTGGTTAGGAATAATTTGTAGTTTAAACTGGTAATTCCCTTTGATCCGACAAATCATGACAGCGAAATGCTTGCAACTTTGCCAGATCTCAGTTGGCTACTGATGACACACATTTCACCATAGAAAATTCTACTATTAGGCCGACGAGGTTTTACTTTTTCTCCTCCCACTCGCTCTAAAGTGTATCTAACGAAGCTACAAAGTAATCGTAAACAGTGGTTGATTCGTGATCAACGCGTGATCGGTAGCCATGGCGCTCTGTCGGCCTCTTCCTGATTGGCTTGTAGCGACGAGCCTCCAGACAAAGTCGCACGGTTGCCACGCTCGGCGAGTTTTCGCAAATCAATCTGTTGGTGCAATACGTGCAATAACTGTTGTAAAGGACATTATATAACAATAAATAGCATCACAAAGGTATATTCCAATTTGATCTGCAGCAAATTATGAACGGCATATACGGAGATGCGAAAACAAGCTCAAAAAGGTGAAGAAAATTTTTGTGCAATCTTTATAGTTAAATTTTTCCTAAGAGATAGCAACAGTGAGGGAATTTTTTTCTATTGTCTTATTTTTCACATTAATGCGATGTCGAGGTATGTGGCCCTATCGCAATTGAAAATAAGGTTTCGATGATCCTTCCAAAAAGTTTCGATGAGTACATCTGAAATAACCTTGAGATATTCTTCAGGGAAATACAACAATCTCCTTTTGTGTTTTTTTGTGCAGATTTATCTATTAAAATCCTATCCGCAATCTATTTTCCGTGCACACACCTTCAACCGAATGTATGCCATATATGATATTACCGTTTCCAACTTTCACCAAGGTTAATAGGAACCATAACAGCTCCCTACCCTTCCACCCTATAAGCATATCGATTTGTAGCCTCACATTTCAAGGTTAGACTTCTTGTAATGTTTCTGTTCAACATTCGGCGATTTCTGACAATTTTCCCAATAAAACATGATCATTGTGACATTAAGCCTGGCAACGCTGCATAGTAGAGGGAACTCTCAGCGTCACGTTGATGGACGGATTCCCGTTTATGAGCGCGAACGTTTTATGCACGTCTTGACTTGATTTTTCTTGCGGAAATTTAATATTAGTCTAAAATGTCTGACACAGATACAGCTGATGAAGTGGTTGAAATCAGCTTAACGTCACCCAGAAAAAGGGCTAAAAAGCTTCATGTTAGCGCAGGTGAAAAACAAATTATTCTAAATATCTACAAGAACCTGATGCAAGAGAATAGTGGATTGGCTATAGAAAATATCGTATGTAAGGTTGCTGAAATTTCTGGAGTAGGTCGATCAAGTGTTTACAAAATCTTGAAGGAATATAGACAAAATCACTCACTATCTGAGCCAAAAACATATCCAGCGAGAAAAAAAATCATCGAAAAAATAGATGACTTTGACAAAAGTGCCATTAGAAGAAAAGTACATCACTTTTTCTTCAGGAATGAAATACCTACAATAGATAAAATATTGAAGCAAGTGAATGATGATGAGGACCTGCCAAATTTTAAAAGATCTACGTTCCATAAGCTGTTGAAAGAACTAGACTTTCGATTTTTGAAAAGAGGAAGGAATAGTTTATTGATAGAAAAGGAGGAAATTGTTATCTGGAGGAGAGAATACCTTAGAAAAATTAGGCAATTCCGCGCTGAAGGAAGAAAAATTTATTATTTAGACGAAACATGGGTGAACGCGGGCCATACGCAGGGAAAGGTTTGGGTAGACAGATCTGTGAGGTCCTCAAGGCAGGCTTTTTTAGATGGCCTTTCGACGGGATTGAAAAATCCTGCAGGTAAGTTTCGAAGTATATGAACTTTTTTGGATGCAGATAATTCATTTTCTGATCGAATCAATGATTTGGAAGCTCCGAACTCAGTTTTGCTATCTCATCCAAGTTTCTGAGTATTTCCTTCACCCAAAAACTAATCTAAGACCCTATCCTACACTAACCTAAAAAGAGTAAGTTGCTTAATTTCGTCATTTAGTGCGCTCGCTGAGAAGTAAAATAACTAATTATTTTCAGGCAAGGGAAAACGCCTGATCATTTGCCAGATAGGTAGCGTAGATGGATTTGTTCCTGAAGCATTGTGGGCATTTGAATCCAAAAAAACTGGAGACTATCACGAAGAAATAGATGGTAACTCATTTGAAAATTGGTTCAAAAAAATTTTGCCGACACTTGATGATAACGCAATTATTGTGATGGATAATGCCCCGTACCACTCCAGAAAATTGGAAAAAATTCCAACAATGGCCACCAAAAAGGCAGACATTCAACAGTGGCTTGTCTCAAAGAAGATCGACTTCGACCAAACAATGGTCAAAGCTGAGCTGATAAATATAGTCAAGCGACATAAGTATAAATATGATTTAAAAATTGTTGACGAAATGGCCAAAAACCAAAATAAAACGATTCTCAGGCTGCCTCCCTATCACTGCGAACTGAATCCTATCGAGTTGATTTGGGCCGACATCAAGCAA